TTCATATTATTATTCAGGGAGGTGACCTTGATAACATATGTCAAAATTGTTGAGATCGGAAAATAGTCCGTATAACTGCATAATTACCAAACAAAGTTATTTACTGTTAAACACGTGCAAATTTGTCACCGTGCCCCGTATCCAGGATTAGTTGTCACATAAGTTAAAATTCTAATTTTCTTGGGTGTAAGATCACAGTTAATATCTGAAGCACGTAATATATACTTAACTAGTAGTTCTTTTTGAAAATCACTAATAAAACTCTTTTTTGGCTTAGCATAACCGACACTTGTACAAATCGTATTTTCACATTTGTTCTTTTCTGAAAATTTCTTACAATACCGAACTATAACGTACGATCTTCAGTTCACTTTAAATAATAATACACCCTGTCCCATTCACAAAGTTTTTGTTAAAGTTATATACCGCGACGCATCTTACGCACGGCGATTACTTCCTCACGCATACTCACCGTGTGACAACTTACCCCAAACGTTTATTTTACATAAAAGATATATTTATAATCTGCAATGCAATAACGATTAAATAAATATAAAAAAACTTATTTAAAACTACCACTTGTCTTATACCTGAGATAAAAGTGCAATTAAAAATTTTAAACTCAATAAAATTACTAACCAATCGAAATCACAAAAATCTACTTGCCATGTTCAGTTTTACAAAAATGCTCGTATATATCACATATCATGTTATTAAGAAAAACTATTTCGTACACGTTATTAAAACAATACTAGCAACTTACAATAAAAAAAGAATATTTTCCACGATTTAGTAAGCAAGATAATAGCAGTTTAACAACTAACCTCGTGTCACACCTAGTCCCGGTCTCCCCTATTTGTAATATTAAAACGTATTGCATAAATATGCAACTTGCTTCAAATTTAATAAATAAACTTTGACACTTTACAAACACATCCCAAAAACATTACAAACACAAATGTTCTAGCTGATGCAAAATGTAAGGCTAAAAAAACTTTTTGCTATTACTGATATTTAATAGTCCACTACCATAACAAGAATAACAAGATGACAGAATAGAGCACATTGAATAATAAACTTATAAAGTTACGCTTATTAGAGTCATTCGAACAGATAAAGCAGATAAATAACCGACACATTCATTAAAACATTCATTAAAAACACAAATAATTCTCCAGTATTAAGAAACTTTTATAGACCAATCATAAACAACTCGATAAAAATAGTACTGACATTTTTATTGATTCAGGAAACAAAAATCATCTCAACTATCATAAATGTATACAGTAAGATGTCAAAATGTAACATGTATGTACATAGTTATTATTTGTGATTGTGTTGATAATTAAGTATAAGTTCTCTAAAAAACCTTGACCGCGTTTCATTTATACTACTTTACGTCAAACTATACTTACACAAATAAGTGAAGAAGACATCACAAAAAACTCTTTCTGCCAGTGTCCGTAATATTTATACACATTATAAATCTATTTTTTTTTTTTGTTTTATATAAACTTCCTCATTGTGAAGTACATATCTTAACTCCGGTCAAAGTTTCTCCTTGCCGTCCACCTGATAAAGAAAAAAGAAGAAAGAGACTACACTGGCATATATATATATATATATATATATATATATGTATATACTGGCATAGTATTTGCAGTATCTATCTAACTTCTCTTTGATGAAGTGCGATCAGATAATATAGTAGTTTTACGTTTAGTTCTAAACCCGACGTTTGAGTGTATAAACATTTGTTGTAACTTGTAATGTGCGTCAAAAAGGTCATGCGCAACTGACAGTGCTTTATATTAAAATCGCCATTTTTCAAACAAAGATCAAGCAGACTAAAAAGAAAGAAATTACCATACTTCAAAACATTCTCGAAAAATCAGAAAAAAACTTACAACTACAACACACTTTGAAGTACTTCAAATCTACTCAAATCAAAACAAACTTCTCTTTATACTACAAAACATGATAATAACAATACTATTATTGTTGATTGTTTTTGCAATAATATATGATTTTTACTTACACCATACAAGAAATGGGCGACTTATCGATCTTATACCAGGTCCACCTGGTATTCCAGTTTTTGGCTCGGCACTTTTAGCTCAAGCTTCACAAGGTAAGTATAATGTGCTTCTTTTTACACAAATTAAAATTTAAAAAAAAACTTGCACTGGTTACAAATTACACTTTTACCAAAATATTATCTGTTACAATTAATATATTTTTCAGAAGATATATGGCACCTTATACGTTTTTACGCAAACATTACTTATCCTGTTACAAAAGTCTGGATAGGTTTCAGAAATGGTGTATCCATTCGTCATCCAGACGATTTAGAAGTATTAAAATAGCACAAATATAACTTTTCCGCGATTGTACACTGTCAATCTGTCAATTTCACTTAAGAATTAATGTTATCATATAGTATTAAAAAGTATTATTCATACTCGAAACAATATTTATAAAATAAAATATTTAAAAAAAAATTATCTGTGTGTTATAAAACTAAACTTAGAGAAACATAATATTTTTAATATAGTTTTTCTAATTTTTTGTAATTTTAGAAAATTTTAAGCAGTACAAATCATATCGAAAAAAATTTTCTATACGACATGTTACGTCCGTGGCTTAACGATGGACTTCTTACTAGCAAAGGTAATATAACGCCAGTACCATGACTGTACGGTTTACTTACTACTTTAATTAAATATTATAAAATAATACATTATATTATTTACTGTAACACACCCAAATTAATGTAAACCTTTTTACCTATACTTATACTACAAATAGTATGAGTACAATATGTTCCGGACGTATTTTTTACTGTTTTATTATATATGATCTCGTTTTTTTAAGGAAGCAAATGGTACAGTCGAAGAAAAATATTAACGCCAACATTTCATTTTAATATACTGCGACAATTNGTTGACGTTTTTGTCGAAGAGAGCAACCATATGATAACATCTCTGAAAGAATGTGAAGGAGCAGTTATAAAAGATTTAGTCCCATTTCTTAGCGAGCACACACTAAATGCAATATGCGGTAAATTATCATATTTTCTATCATATTGTGTAAGAATATCCACCTATACGAACAATCATACTCAATACAGAATTTATTATTCGAAGGTAACACATCGATGTTGCTATATTTTACATGACACAATAAATATGCAATAAACGAATATATGTAACGTTCGAAATCTCTATGCAAAATGTTTAGTACGATAAAGCTGTGCTAAATGTACTTTTAGAAACCGCCATGGGTATTTCTTTGCGTGGTTGTGACACGTTCCAGGAACAATATCGAAAATCAATAGAAGATATGGGTCGCTTTTTTGTACACAGGTAATTGACGCATGTACATTTATACAGTATATGTTATATATATATATATATACATGATCTATATGTATATTTTACAATATACATATATTTTACAATACGTACATTTTACAATAAGACTTCATACGATAATTCCAAGGTAATTATTTTTTCTACTATCCTAAATTGAAACANACTTAATTTTTTCTAAAGCAATCTATATATTAAATTAGAATGTCTATAGATTTAAAGTGACTATGATGTGCAGATTACAATCTCCTTGGCTGTATCCCGAATGGTCGTTTGCATTATCTCCAACAGGTAGACAGCAAGCCAAAACGTTGAAAATATTACATGGATTTACTGAAAAAGTTTGTAAAATATATTTGCATAATAACTTACTTTTCAATACGCAAGATTATAAATGCATGTATAACAAAACATCAACAATATTACAATGTATTTCTTCTATTCATATATAGGTCATTAAAGAAAGGAAACTATATCACGAACGAACACAGTACCAATATTTAAAAAGCATTGAAACTGGTATATCGACAAAAACAGATGATGTAGAAGTGATCGGAAGTACGTAAAACAATCAAATATTATTGTTGTTGAAATCTGATGCAAATTTAAAAAATGCAATTTTATCAATATTTGCATAAAATAAAATAAAATGTATACAAAACTTTATAAAATTAGGAGCGTGATGCAACTGTACATATTTTTTCCTTTAGTTCGTAAACAGCGACTCGCTATGTTGGATCTTCTAATAGCGGCATCTCGTGAAAATAATATAACCGATTTGGACATCAGAGAGGAAGTCGACACCTTCATGTTC